TAGGGCTTGCCTGAAAAGCTCTTATTTGTGGCGTGATATACAATCGGTGCATTTGACTATAAACATGCGAGTGAGAACTGTAGATAACCCGGATGATCGTGAATTTTCTGATATATTATTAAAGAAAATACCTTCACCAAAGATACCTATCCACTGCTACACCAAGGAAAATTTATTCTGACGCCTGAGTTATGTTGTATAGTGCAATCCCAACAACATCTTACATCGTCAGTTTACGGTGACGTAACAAATATATTAAATAAGAACAATTCTTGGCTATGCGAAAGGTCCATTTTAACTCCTCGCAATGACCAGGCATCTGAGATTAATAATAAAATACTGTCGAATGTCCAGGGGGAAAGCAAAGTTTATAGTTCAATAAATAGAATGGCCGATGAACAAGAAGCCACTTATTACCCGATAGAATTTTTAAATTCTTTAAATATGCCCGTACTTCCTTCTCATGAAATTTGTTTAAAAATTGGCATTCCGATTATTCTGCTCCGAAATTTAAGACCACCACAAATTTGCAATGGAACTCGGCTTAAAGTAACCCAGTTGCAACAAAATGTAATCGAGGCTCAAATTTTAATAGGTTGCGGTGCAGGAGAAACCATCTTTATTCCCAGAATTCCCATAATACCAAATAATTTTCCATTCCAATTTAAAAGAACGCAATTCCCAGTATCGGTGTGTTATGCAATGACAATAAATAAGGCTCAAGGGCAGACCTTTCGTGTTGTTGGAGTAGATCTCGGTGTCAGTTGTTTTTCACATGGTCAGTTATGTCGGTCTTTCCCGGGTTAGCAGTCCTAGAATTTTTTATGTTCACGTTCCGGACGGGTCAAATTTCAACGTAGTCTACCCGGAAGCTTTGCGCTGAAGTATTTTCATTCTATATGTACTTAAGACTCATGTGAAAGCGATCTAAACAATATTACCAATACATTAACATAATAACATACAAAGAGTTACACGCTGATGGTCTCGGGGCACAGTGATAATAATAATATTCTGCGGTTCCTTATTGTGATATTTTTAACAGTATTATATTTCCCTACTAAAATACGAAAGTTAATCTGTCTGTCACATCAAAACCACGGAACCCTGAGGAAGGACATATGCTACTTTTTTACGAAAAACGACGATAACGCGGACGAAGTCGCGGGCAAAAGCTAGTCTGAAATAAATTTCCGGCTTAAGTCATTTTCTGTCTCGATCTCCTGTTATCGTAAAGAAAGTGACTACATCAGCTCGAGTCAAACTTAAAAGTTAATTGACTTCTATGAGTGTGTGCCGGGTGACCAGCACAGGAGTCTCGTCTGTGATCTAACTGGGTTGGGTCCCATTTCACCGTGCCCCAAACGGGACGAATTGAGCGGAAGTGAAGAATGCGTCGCGACGCCTTCACTTTCATAAAAAATGTGGTGGCCTGACCAATAAAGTAGTCTTTCATTATTTGTTTGATAATTCTGCTAACAGATGACTATGATGGAAGCGCTTAAGAGCGGATGCGAGCGAGCGACTTTTGAGAAATAGAGTTTTGAAAATACTATTGCTGTCGCGCATTGGAAAATACCGTGCGATAGGGAAACAGTACCCCTAGCACGAACCATTATCGAATTCGAATAGTTTGCAAACCGAAATGTCAATGTCAAATTTTGTTTGGAGACTTGAACAGCAGCGACACAAAGTACGTAACGAGAACTAAAAATCTGTACACATTTGACAATGACATTTCGGATTCGCAAACGATTCGAATGCGATATTGATTCGTGCTAGGGGTATAGTAGCTAACGCTGCAAATTACGTATAAAAATTGCAAAATTAGAGTTGTGGCTCTCGACTATTTCCTCACCGAAAATCAGGTATAACTAAAAGAAATTTTACATATAGATTAATAAATAGTTATGCTAGGCCTCTATGTTATGCTTTTTTTTAAATGCTTATTGAATCTCCACAGTAGACGTCTTTAGTGGTGATAAAAATGTAATTACTTCTGGCAGTTTTAAGGGCGTCAACATATATTTCTTTAGTGAGAAATATCAAGGAGGAATCTGTCGAGTACGTTTGTATGGAAAAAACATTGCCCGCCCCTTAAGTTGGATAAAATGTTTACTCCCTAAAGGATAGTCGAGCATATACACGTATAACGCAATAATATTATTACTGTTGTTTCAGTTCGCTGACTGTTTCCCCTCTTATATAGACTCTTTTAAGAAATAACACCAGGAGGTTGTACTTAAAATATTCCCGAGCGAGTAGAATATTTCCTTACTAAATTCAAACAAAAATCACATAAATTATTTCCCAAGCTGGCACACTACCTGAATATTTCTAACATAATCTATCACCCAAAAAAAATTGCACCAAGTTATCTCCCACGTAGCAGGATTATTTTTTTACTAAAATTTTCCCAAAAATCACTATTTTCCAAATAGGTATATATGCTATGCCAGAACACCGTAAATTACTTATTTTCAAAAATCACTAGTCTTATCCGTTAGACAAGGCATGAATAGAACTAAGAAAGTAGAGTAAAAGTTTTCTCATCGGCAAAAAGTCATCGGGACACGCAACCCCGAGCCGGTTTCAATGAGCATTAGTTAGTGCTTATAACTAGTTTTTGCAAGTTAAGGTTTTCTTCTTACTAAGCATAGTAATCATAGGGCTATTGAATTTTCGATTGGAATTCCTTTGACTCGGCTATCAATAAAACTACAAATATTCCTACAGATTTTAAACTATGCCACGAATTCACGTTTCATAAACTATTAACAAGATGCTACTGTTTAAAAGGGTAATTCGTTAAATAGAACTGTTAAGTGGAGTGATACATATACACACAAGCTGGAAGCTATCAATTTCATTACGAACCTTTCAAGCTTTTCGCAACATCGTGAAATGGATACGGGATTTGTGTCAACGTCATGTGCCGAGATTTTATTTGAAATATCAGATTTTTTCGGCAAATAATGTCCTTGTCGATACAATTCAAGTAAAACGTAAGTCTCGTGTTACTAATTGAAATCGTAATACATCCTACTAGTCCTACTAATATTATAAATGTAAAAGTTTGTACGTTTGTTACTCAATCACGCAAAACCACACCTGAATGGATTTGGATGAAATTTGGTACAAATATAGTAACTGAACTGAACTGAACTGAAATATATGATACTTTTTATTTTGGAAAACTGTAAATTTTGGGTTGGATTCTCAAAAAAATAAAGTTAACGCTGACAAAGTCGGGTGCATCCGCTAGTTGTAACATAATATTACTTATGTGTTTCGAGTAATTTATTTCCTTATCAACACGCGTAAACATGAAAATCATTCATCATCATCACAAACCCTTAGTGCCATCCCCAGAGACGCTAACAACTGAAGATGTGATTGCGACCAACAGCTTAGCTTCCAACAATATCAGTCCGAACACGGTAACTTCTTATTCCTCCTTCCGCATTGAATTTATTTTTTCAATAAAAAAGAATAATAATAATAGACATGGATGTTTAATATGTATTTCTATATAAATATACCTATATATGTACTGTATATTTATTCTATCCGTTACCCTAGTATCCCATAACAGAAGCCTTACAGTGCTTACTTTGGTGCTAGGCTAATTGGTGTGAGTGTTGAAAATACTTATTATTTATTTATTTATTTATAATATAAAAAAAGACTTACGTGTACGTTATATTTCCCTTGTAAGTAAAAATTTAAATCCCGATTAAAAGCTTCCAATCCCTCATTTTAAATATCGGAATAATTTACGTTTGTGCTTCCGTAAACATTAGTAGACTTAAGTTCAAACATTTTTTTTATATGGCTTCCAATATAATGGCTTGTACGCTTTTTCAGATGAGTTTCGCGGCTTTTGTCACCTCATTGTTCTATTGATAATGAAATATTTTTTTTTTGTTACACAAACAAGGGATTTGCAATTCAAGCAGTTTTTTGGTTTCCGTACTCAAACGGGAACCGTATTATTATGGAACATCCAGGATTCATTATGTGTCTGCCAGCAGGCGTTAAACATGAACTTCGACAGGTAGAAGATTGAGCAGTTTACACGACGGCTGGATCGACTGCTCGATAGTGTAGTAGTCCATTCGATTTTCGAAAGTGGAAGCTAGTCGTCTTTCGCAATGGCAGATCAAACGATGGAAAATTTAATCATATTTTTTATAGCTAGGTCTGATGACTCCACCCCACCTGATGATAAGTGATGGTGGTGTCCAGACGCGAAGATAGCTGCTGGTACAGTAGTTTTACCTACCACACCAGCCATCCTCACCTTGCCAGTATGAAAGTTGCTTCTTTCTTTTAAAGGGTCCCTGGTTAAAGGAGGTACACGTGAGCGGGCAAAGCATTCCATTTGCGGATTGTGTAACAAAGAAATGAGTCACCAAACTTTGTTCGCGTTTGAATAGTGGGCACAGTAAATCGGTTACAACTTAGCGCGTGGAGCTCTGAAAGAAAAGGGGAAGATGGGATAAGGGAGAATAACTACTCAGAACCCTCGCCGTAGTATAGACGATAGAACTCGCTTGATGATGCCACGTTTCTGATGATCTTGTGTCTGTAGTTTCTCCGTGCTTTGGGAAGCACGTAAGAAAGTTGGTTCCGGTTGCATCTTCATTAGTTAGTAAGTACCAATCTGCACTAGCCCTGCGATCTGCTAAATTCATGGCCCATTCTCCCTAATTCATCTAAATGGAAGGCTTGTGCCCCAACAGTAGGGACTATGATAGATAAGTGCCAATCCGCAATAACCCTGCGACCTACCAAGTTCGTGGCTCTATCTACCTGATTCCTTTATTTGGAAGGCTTGTGCTCCAACAGTGAGGACTGATGATGATCTCGACTACGTCTACAGTCATTAGTACTCATTAATTTATAGTTGTAAACCAGCAACACATTCTACTTTTCATTCCAGCTGCAAGACAAGAATAGGGTTTTTTTTACATAAATTATTAAATAAATGAACTTACGCGAACACGACGCATTGCGGCGACAATCTCGACCCGACTGGTCGGCCTCGGCACGTCCATCGTTCCAATGTACTGAAACAAATGAAACAGACATTATTAACAAAAACTTACTTTACAACCCAAGATCCATCATGAAACTGGCCAATGAATCTTCTGAGATCGATCGACAAGACATTATTAAAAAAAACGGGCAAGTTGGACTTGGCCACCGAATCTTAAGTAGAAAGTTGTAAGTACGCAACATAAATGGCGTACTAATTTTACATTAACTTAGAAGTTTGACTTTTTCTCAATATCAAGGGACCGGTAGACCTGAGTATATGGTTTAATCACGAGTACAGATTTTTTACCAAATTATTCTTGTAGAGTAAAACTACAAATGTAGGACATACGATAAAGAGACGGTGGTTATTTGGAATATACTAACTTTTATTATATATTCCGTATGCCGAGTTTTTGTCCTTTATTCCTGTTAGTTCTGTTATCCGATAATGGGACTTTTCTTCTCAGTACAGCTGTGAATAACTTGGCCAATTTTTAGGGCCAAGTAATAGAAATAAAGGGTCTGAGTTAACAATCCGACTATCTCTCTCGTACCTATCTACATAGGTAAATACAATCCGGAACTACCAGAAGTCCAAACTGGGTTATCAGAGTCATCAACAGCTTACTGCCCATTGATAAATGTTGTCCTGAAGGATCGGTTAAATCTTTCAACTCGTAAGTTAAGCCGGTCACGTATCTGCCTATAGCGCTCGTGTGCGACGGGCATAATAATGAGATTATATCAGTGTCAAAGACCCAATGTATATTAAATTTATTTGAATCGAATAGATACAAGGATTATCGTTTGTATTAGCCTAAATACAGAATCAATATTTAGTAGAAATTTTATTAAAGAAAAATTTAGAAAGTTCTGAATATAGGTGCTGAAGATAGGCGCAAAACCGGCAAAAGAGTTATGAAAGATATAGTCCAGTCAATGAAGGCTTAACTTTGCCATTTTGAGTTGATCACCTGCAACCAACGCGAAAATTTCCGCAAGTTGTAAATATTTTTGTTCATTATTTTTATAAGAATTATTAATGAAGAATTAATTAATTGTTACTCCTATTAATTATTATTACTAATTATAATAATTAATATGTACATTTTCAAAATAAAGAACAAAGCGCGTTTAGAAAGTGAGAAGTTTATTAGTTAGTAAATCGTCCCCTTAGTGCCAAAACCGATTATCTGCACTTTTCCGCTACTGAACTTTTATAATACCAATCGACCCGTCTCATTAAGCCGCATCTACAGGTAAAATCCATTATGTTCTACGACGCATACTTCCTGAAATAGCTAATGAATAAACAGAATAACTGCAAATTATTTCCAAAATTCTTGATTTAAAACCTAATAAACCGATTCAAAACACTTAAGTTTGTAAATGTATTACCGCTGAAAACAAGTTTCGGATTTTAACTCATTTTTCATGTAGATACTTAGAGTAAATATCCTGTGAGTATCCTGTAATTGGCTTTGACAGTTGTTGACTTGACTGTTTGAATTTTACCAGATATTTTAATTTTACTAGATGAAGTAAAAACTAACAAGTCCGTCGCTTTTTGCAAAAAAATATATATCGTATGTTTGCGTTATATTTGAGGCAAGTAAAAGAGGATAGACCGAATCGATCGACAGGTGACCTTCTAGCGTACGTGACATATATCTGGGCTGAGGCTATCGATAAGCGAGGTGAGTCTTTGGCTATCAGCCTTAACATCGCCAAGGCTTTGATAGGGTCTGGCACATAAGTCTTCTCTACAAGCTTCCTGGATACGGTCTGCCTACTCAGTTCTGTGCCTGAGTGGCTGACTTCCTGCATGAGCGTCAACGGACGGCGACGGATGTAGTTTGCAGTTCATGTCAGTGAATGCCGGTGTTTCTCAGGACTCCGTCCTATCCCCTACACTCTTTTTGCTGCATTCAATGATTTATTTCCGCTTAAGAATATTCATTGCTATGCAGACGATATTACAGTGCATGCGGGATATTTTGGATACGCAGCCGCTGGACAGGTAGAAACCAAAGAGAAACGGGAGAATCTTGTCATTGAACACAATCAAGATTTGGACCGCATTTCGGAATGCGGTACCAAGAACTTGGTTGAGTTCATTGCCAAGAAAGCCTAGGTCTGCGCTTTCACGGTAAAACTAACGTTTTTGCACGCCTGAGCAACTGTGCTTGTTGTACATGACGTAAGTACGGTCTTGCGTGGAATATTGGTGGATGGCTCCGCCAAGTACTTTTTTGATGCTATGGATAGGTTACAGCGGCGCGCGATCCGCATTATTGGCGATAAGGAGGTGACTAAACACCTCGAGCCTCTTCAATTACGCCGTGATGTGGCGTTATTAAGCGCGTTTTATCGTCTATACCTTGGCGCATGTTTTGAGAAGTTAGTGTCCCTTAACCTACCTTCCCCTTTCCTACAGAAGTCTACACGCGCTGGCTTACGTTGCCACCGATTTACTGTGAACTACTATTCCCACTATTCCAACGTGAACAAAGAAATTTGGTAACTCATTTCTTTGTCAGACTATCCGCAAATGGATTACTTTGCCCTCTTACGTGTGTGAAGTAGCAGTTCTGCAGGCCGGCAAAATGAGGATAGCTGGTGTGGCAAGTAATACTGCTGGACCAGCTATCTTCGCGTCCAGACTCCTTCGTCACCTAACCTCTGGTAGAGTCAATTGTTGAGCCTATATATAAAAAAAAAAGTTATTACAGGGGTAGTAATTTTAAGAGAGGAATTGGGTTTAGAACAGGTCACCGTGATGATAAAATGCCACTTCGTATTTTTTTATTTTATGGATTTAGGGCCCATTACTCAATAATTCTTTTTGCCAAGGTTGAGAAGTACCTACTTAACCAAGAAAAAAATTCAAAATCATAAATCAGCACATTGCACTGCCGCTCTGAGGAATACCGTGTATTTTTCTTTCAGCTGAAGTAATTAATAAAGCGCCAAATTAAAGTTATTCAGTAAAAACAAATTGAAATTCGGTATCTTCTTTTACTTGCCTCAAATATAACGCAAATATTCTATATTTTTTTTTTCAAAAAGCGACAGGTTTTTTAGTTTTTACTTCATCTAGTAAAATTAAAATATCTGGTAAAATTCAAACAGTTAAAGCTAATTACCGTGGGATAACTTATTTTAGTGGAATAATCTCACAGGATATTTACTTATAAGTGTCTACATGAAAAATGAGTTTAAATCCGAAACTTGGTTTCAACAATTAATACGTTTACAAATTTAAGTGTTTTGAATGGGTTTATTAGGTTTTAAATCAAGAATTTTGGAAATAATTTGCAGTTATTCTATTTATTCTTATTAGCTATTTCAGGAACTATGCACAAGAAGCGAGCAACGACGATTTGTAGCGTGTGGCGGCCACCGGCGTACCGCGTGTGGCGAATCCATATAAAATGTATGAAAACTACAAGAAATATGCCGGTGGCTGCGTTTTGTGGTTGTAGTCGGTGGCCCGTGTGTGGCGAAACATAGTGTGTGCATACAATGAACGTATACATACTGGCTAACTTGTGCTGAGGGCCAGTTTGCAGGTATCAGGTGGCACAGGCAAGTAAAAATTTTACTCACTTTACTTACAGTTTCAGGACTGATTCTTACGTATGTTGTAGAGAACATTGTAAACAATTTAAAATTAATATTGCCAGACCCATTCTGTCAGCAGTATTTATTGCCAGACACTTTAAATGCCAAAAGTATTGTTGTCCATGAGAAAATAAGCAAGATCTTAACGGTCTTTGGATCTTGTACTTCGAGAGCTACAAAAAAAAGCAGCATCTGCCAGCTGATTTTCTGCCGCGTATAACATGTAAAATTATAGATACTATTTGGCAGTATATTCTGAAAAGCTATCGTAATAGTGTCACCATAATAATGATCGCAAATCTGATTATTGTGATTCAAGTGACTGTACCAGAATTGACGAGATTTTCCATAATGAATCCATAACCTCAAGTCAGATGTATCTAACAATGTATAAAAATATTTTTATGTTTCCATCCACTTGTAAATTCAATAAGGTCGACAGTCACGTCTCGAGCGCATAATATTCCATCATCTAATTGCAAAATGAGGTCTCCGGAAATCGTTCCGTTTAGATGGGGTATTACATCGTAGGCTTTTACAGCCCAATTTTAAATAAAATATAAAATGCAATTAAAGTACTTCTCAAAAAAACACTCTTTCGATGCCACACTAAAATGTGTTATAACTGAAGGTGTATGTAGTTACGTTTACTTAAATGTCCCGTTAACTCCAAAGCTTGCATAAACACTGTTAAATACATAAGTACAAGCACGGAACATCATGATAGTTTCAGAATTGGAGAATTTAATATTTAGTCCGCTGTATAAATCGTGTTATATTCGAGCGCCGTGCCAAAACTGCAAGATTTCCCTTGCGGGGCACAATTTAGTTCAACGTTATTGAGACAAAAAAATTAATAACCGGTGTATATTGAGCTAGCCCACATTTAATCCTCTTGAATCTTGTGAAACTTGCTTTTTAATTAAGTGTAATTCAGCCAGATGGACTGGGAGTAAATGAGCAACAAAGAATACGGTTGTTAACTTCCCTAAAATAAATACATGCTATGCTTAGGTATATCTAGTACAATCAATCAAGTATCAAGTTTAGTTGAAGGTCTTGTGAAAGCAATGCATTAAAAGTTGGTTGTACTCAGTTATATTAGTAAATAAATATAACAATTGAATTCATCATGTCGCTTGCAACAGTGCCAAAATATCGAAAACTCGCTAAAAACAAGGTACATGGTAACAATGCCGTAAATAACATAAATTACTATACAATGTTAGTGACCATGAAAGTTTCAAACAATAAATTGAGTTATAATTTTTATTTTTTTAAAGCATGTTACCGCTCAATGTTTAAATCTAAAGAAAATATTTTTAGAAAAAAAAAGAGTTTTCTTAAGCTGCCTTGTGGCTTAAGAAAGGCTAGAAAGAATTCGACACAGCCA